GAGGTAGATTGTTGCGTGCATTGAAATAACATAAGTACTAGTATCTCCTTTTTTTTATAGTCGTATTTATAAAGATAAAGCGTCTATGATTGAGGGCGCACTGGAGTTAGCTTCTACGATAGCCAGTAAGAGTCCTGTCGCTATCCAGGGATCCAAAGTGAACTTGGTGTATTCCAGGGACCATTCAGTACGGGAGGCATTAGAATATATGGTAAATGGAACTCTTTAAATGTATCGTCCAATGTAAAGTCATAAATATTTACCCATAAAAATACTAATATACTGTCTGTGCAAGAAATTACGCCTGTACTGATTCTGTACTGTATTTTCATGTTTCTTAAAAATAGGTTTTGCTACCTTACTTTTGAAAGTAAATTTCTACCAATATCACCAAAAATATACGTGCCAGACGCACTGTCATTGAACTGCATCAAAAATGTTAACGACGGCGACAAAGAGACCAGACAGACAAAGTAGCACATATATGCCACCTTCAATTATTAAAAGCGCGGTGGTCGTAGCGCAGCGCGTGTTCGAATTTCATGTAAATAAACAATGTATTTTACACGCGTTGTATACGTCGCTATGAGTCCCATATCGAACAGGACGCGACACGACGACTGCCGCCCCTTAACATTGTAGGCAAGGCATTGGAAAATCACAATTTCGTTTATAATTGTAAGATACTAGTATTACGTATTTTGTTCTAACTACGTAGTTATCCCAGTTAGTTTACTTTAACTTCCCTGAAGTATTTCGGTCAACAGAAATTGGTAAATTTTTTACTCGACTGCAACACCAACATAACATTGTTAGTAATGTAAAACACTTTGAAATAGCTACATATCATTTGTAAATTTCGTAATATATTGATTTTCGCACACAGGCAGCCTGGAACATGAGTATGGGACAGACTGAAGACATTGCCAGGGCCATACAGGCCAATATGACCAAGCAAAAAACAACTTTCTCTAAACTGTGATTTCAGTGAGAAATAATTCTACACAGTTTACTTTCTTTGAATCGTGGTATCATGTATGTTGAGTTTTATATTACTGTGCTCTTTTTTTTTTAAGATTTTGACTTTTGACGCGCTGCACGCCATAACCGCACGCGCCCAAACCAGGTCACGGAATTAATGGCTATGAGCAACTTTTCTCTTCTGCGTTGTTGGCAAAATTGTCAGATTGAAACAAATAAAATACAAATTCGAACATCCTATATTTGTTAAATAGCTTTTTATTCGTATAACATGTTTAAGTGGGGTATATAGCAAACGTCAACGAGAAGCACGACGCCGGATAACCTTTTGCTAACCAACGTTCCTCAACACCTGGAGGCGCCAACATTTATTTCGTCTTACAGTATTCTGGCCGTGTGTTCGGGAAGCTATGGCAGAGGTTACCAGATGAGTCAAAAAGTATAGTATCACGTGGCAGACATGCCTACGATTTCAAGTTGCTTTTTGCCGAGCGTGCAATCTTTGCAGCTTTCCGCATCGAATTGGCGAAATTCCCGACTCAGGTGGACCAAGTCAGTTTCCGCCAATGTCTTCGCCTTTTTTATTTTTTTATTTTCGAAACAACAAAATACAATACAATGAGAATGTTCCAAATGGCGTTGTCATAGATACCAGTATGTATTTCAATGAGTATGATGGTTACCATTCTCTAACAATTTTAACGTCTTACCTTCGATCACTTTGTTTTCCACATTTACATCCACTTCGCTGAATGGACAACTTTTTCTAGTTTTCTTTGCCCGCCACCATTTTTTCATTTTACCGAACAAGTTAAACGGAAAACAACCAATCTTCTCTTGCGTCGTCGTCGCCATCGTCGTCAGAAAAAAAACTATGAGTATATTACTTTAAACTCTAATAACTGTGTCGGGGATGGGTTCGAATGATCATTTATTTCCATTCAATATTGCTTTAGTTACATTTATTGCGTGTTAATACGGACTCATCGCTTTACGAGTACATTGATATTTCATGCGTCCGTGTTGGCGCCAGAGCGTTGTTACATTGTTTAAAATTTCTAGTTGGTCGCGTGCCGGTCGCGTGCTGCACTTTTCTGTCTCATCTTAGTTAATAGCAGTGTATTTTGACGTGTATATTTCACCTCTGAATAAAGATCCATTGACAATAGATCTGCTTCCTATCTATTTCAGGAAACCATCAAGTGTTTTGTGGGACACACTCAAGCTTATATATTTTCTCAACCACAAACTGTAAACTCCTGGCGTAGACTGGTGTTTGCTAAATTTCGAACGCCACCACACGCGTACTGTGTCGTCACAAGCGTGCCATGCTAATAATAGTATTGTTCGTAGACAACACGCGCGCCCCACGCCCTCTACGCCATTTCCACCAATGACTTCGCTACCTAACGATCTACCTGATGTTTTTAATAAACCTAGATGTGATCCACCCAAACTGCAAAATACACATATTAACTGTATAATGTATGCTGACGATCTTGTAATACTTTCTGAAACAAATTCCGGATTACAAACTTGCCTTGATAATATATCAATATACACTAAAAATGGCTTCTAACTGTTAAGGTAGAAGCCTACTCATAAATTAAAAAAAAAACAGAATTTATTCATCTTGCAATAAATTGTACTTCAAGGCAATATAAGGTTATTGATCTAAAAAAAGTTAGGGGTCACCAGCCTTTTTTTTCGAGAAATTGATGGTTGTATTTTAGTGGCAAGTCGCCATTTTGACACCTTTATAACACTTTTACCACAGGTTCCTATGACAGAGATATTATGCAATATCTCGAAATCTAGCCTGGTGACATAGGCTGAAACACAAGAAAAAAAAAATCCATCATATCAATAAACATCCCTGGATCAGAAACGTCCTTCTTGGGAGTGACCTTATATTAGTTGTAAATTAATCAGCTAAATTATTTTGCATAATTAGCAATTAATAACATTGGAACACGTACAAATCATTCCCGGTATTTTGAATACGAGTGTCAATTTTACAATTACATCTGTTTGGCGACCCAATTGATGAAGATGGCCGAATGGTATCAATTTTAAAGCTGAAAATACAATAAAATCAACCATTTCTGTTCTCCCGGGAAAGGGTCCAATCAACCTCGGACTATTATACAATAATTAAAAACTCAAACATCCTATATTTGTTAAATAGCTTTTTTTTTATATTCGTATAACTTGTTTAAGTGAGGTATATAGTAAACGTCAACGAGAAGCACGACGCCAGATAACCTTTCGCCAACTACCGTTCCTCGACACCTGGGGCTCAACATCTACTTCGTCTTACAGTATTCTCGCCGTGTGTCCGGGAAGCTATGGCAGAGGTAACCAGATGAGTCACAAAGTATAGTATCACGTGGCAGACATGACTACGCTTTCAAGTTGCTTTTTGCCGAGCGTGCAATCTTTGCAGCTTTCCTATGTTTGCATCTGAGTTTTCTACTCAGTTGCTGAAAATGAATCCGTCTAAGACGTGTTGCCTTCTCTTCTTTCTCTTTTAATTTAATTCTTTGCTCTTCCGAATCGAATTGGCGAAATTCCCGATTCAGATGGACCAAGTCACTTTCCGCCAATGACTTCGCCTTTTTTATTTTTTTATTTTCGAATGCCTTTCTGCGAATTTCCGCTTCCTTGAGTTTTAGCTTCAATAACTCCTCATCGCTTTTGGAATTCCTCTTATGGTGCGTCATAGAAGACAGGCGGCGTGGTGGTTTCATTGTTACTTTCTCGGTTGTATCGACCAAGTC